CTTATAGAGAACATGAAAACAATGGCCTCCCTCAGGCTAGTGTGAGCTGTAAGGAAAGACACCTGTATGGCGAACCCGCCAGGATGAAGTATGCTGCCATGGCTGGATGTGAGGCTCAGCCACTGTAACCTATTAGGTTGAACAGACTGGGAAAGTAGCAGGAAGAATGGGTCAATGGGAGACATTTACTCTTGGATTTCCTGAAGCTCATACATCAATGTAGTAGCTTCAGAGACAGCATTGGTCAGTGTCTTTTCTGTCTCTCTCTGGGCCTTAGCATATACCCCTATGTTATTGCTTGGGGGTAATGCAGGACCTACCACATGGACTGGCACACACTTAAAGACTCATGCTGTGGCTCGGTAATCTGTGGATCACTTCTTTCCACAGAGTGCAGACTCTCTGGTGATGAAGATACATACACATTAAAGATTACAAAGCCTCCTACAAACTGAAATGCTGCAGGATAACCTCCAGGGATAATTTTTGCATCCTGTTATATATGCACCTGCCTGAGTGACACAGATATGTAACAGGGACAGCACCCACTCATCAGTCATTTCTATCTGAGGAGGGTACAATGGGTCTGAATCACATGAAAATACCTCCACTTCTTCTAACCTCAAGTGCTCCAACAGGTTGCATCAACATTTCCCTGGAACTCTAAGATTGCTGTACTCTTCAAGGATACTGAAGATAGAGAAAAGACTGCCAAAAATTTAAAGGGAAAAGTCTTTGAAGAGCCAGCAGTGGGAACGTAGTAATGCTGCCTGGCATTTAAAAATGTCTTATACTATTGAAAGAAATCACCCATTATCTTGAAGTGTGCATTTGACTGAGTCTGCACTTACAGAAACATTTGGAGAATTTTAAAACATCTTTTTCTTAAAAGAAAAGAGAAGAAAACAGGAGGCCAGTGAAATGAATGCAGTATTACAGTATTAGGTTTTAGACAGAAAATGCCAAAGAACAATTCACATATGGTGAAAGTAATGCTGTTTTCCAAGCTCTCTCCATTACCAGAAAAAACAAGCCATCTATTAACAGTGTATGAAACAAATATTACTGCCTTTAATACCTACCTACCTGCTGGACATACAATGTGCCTCTTTATATAAAAAACAAACAAGCACAATTCTCAAAAACAGGTTTAAAACTGAATAATAAGAAATAACCCAAGAATTAATTAACTAAATAGAAGACTGAAGTAAATAAAGAAAAAATTAGCCTATCAAAATAAAAAAACAGCATTAAATTAGGCTCCAAAAGACCCATGAGAACTCATAAAAGGAGTAATATGCACCTACCTGGTTTTTATTCTTTCATGATTTAATTTCTAATTTTATTCACTACTATCTGATAATTGCATGAAACACTTATTCTAACCACAGGCAATTTAAACTATTTTAATTTTTATTTCAAGGCCACAAGACAAAGGAACCTATTTATTGCTTAAGGGATTTTTTTAAAACAAAAATTAAAGCTTAATCTTTCATGTTTTAAAGCCAAGACTATTTAAAATCATTTATAATAATGCTGTAGAGAGACTTTTTCTTGGTTCACAAAATTAAAAAGATAAATTTATAATTATGAAAAAAATTAATAGTTTGGGGATTAAATTATCCCTTTCCTTTGTAGATGAATTTGTCTGGAAATTAAGAGACAAAGTTAAACGCAGGGTAAATTCAAGCCCCCATGTAAAAGTTCTCAGAGAAGATGAGGCTTCATGCATTTTACAGTGTGACTGTTCATGTTACAGATAGTGAGTCCACTCTACTATTATTGCTAAAAATGTGTAAAAGCACTAGCTATTCTAACACTTTATCAGTGGATTCTAACACTTTACCTTATCAGTGATAATTCTGATGAAGAATAGAGTCAGGAATGTTACTAACCACATTTTCTACATCTCTGAAAGAGCCCCTGATGAAAATTAGACAAATACATTGACTTTTAGTTAAACAATAACAATTTTTTTAGCTATGAAGAAAAAAATAATCAAAATATAAGATTTAAATAGTGTCTGCTGCCACATTTAAAAATACTTTTAGGTATTTTGAAAAGCATCCTTTAGCAGAGCAAGCACTTTCAGTGGTGCTCTGGTAGCCACATCTACTGAAGGGCAGCATACTGCTTCAGGAAGACAGGGGAGGACACTTTGCTAATGGGACATTTTGATCACAGCACACAATTTTAATCCAGTACTTGGGGGGCAGAGGCAGGCTGATATTTGTGAGTTACAGGCCAGTCAGGGATATATAGTGAGACCCTGCCTCAAAAGCCCCAAAACATAATACAATAAAATATAAAATGAAAAATTCATGATTTTCAAAAATATTGGATGGAATGGCATTATGGTTTGAATCTGAAATGTCTCCTATAGACTAATGTTTTGATAGCGTGTCTTCTAGCTAGTGGCATAATTCTGTAAAGTAGTAACTTCTGGAGTTGGGAACTACCTAGAGGAAGTACATTACTGGTGGCATATTGTTAGAAGTCGTATTTTGCCCTGGACACTTCCTGTATTTTGTCTTTACTTCCTGTTGGCATTAGGCAAATAGCCTCCTCAGCTAGACAGTCTCACAAACAGTGAAGTTCCTTGCCATAGGCCCAGAAACAGTGCCAAAAGACTGTGAACTGAACCCTCTGAAAGCACATAAAACAAACCCTTCCTTTTGCAATATTACGGTAGGCACTCTGTCACAGTGATGGGAGCTGACTAACACAGATGACGAAGGATCCACTGACATGGGCCTGTTTTGTTTTGTTTTTGAGACAGGTTCTCAATATTTTTTCTGGCTATCCTTGAACTCCCTATGTAGACAAAGCTGGCCTTGTCTCTCAGAGGTGGAACTCACAGAGATCTACCTACCTCTGCCTTTCTAAGTGGGATTAAAGGCTCGAGTCACCACACCCAGCAAAGCCTTACTGTTTTCTCTCTCTCTCTCTCTCTCTCTCTCTCTCTCTCTCTCTCTCTCTCTCTCTCTCTCTCTCTCTCTCTCTCTCATATTCCTGAGAGGAGTACCAGGGCATTCTTTCTAGTTTATTATCACTCCAAGCTCCTTCTACATGGCTTCCTTCACTCCACTCAGGCTTTGGCAAAAATGTCACCTTTAATAAATGACTTACTTCTTTCAGATCCTTCGGTGTATACCTTTATTCTGCTTTTATCAATATTAACAACCTTATCTCATCTAAAGGAATCCACATTTATTTATTTATTTTAGTTTTCTGAGGTCTCCTGAAAGACTTAAAGACTCCTAGGTATTATATATTTGTGGTTCACCTGCCATATTCCTACCACAAAGGCACTATCTAACATTGTGAAATAACTTATAGATAGTATTTATTGAAGTACAATATTTTCACATTTAATGTGTTTCAAAAACATCAATGCTGTGTTTATATGGGAGAAACTGCTATGGTAAAGATGTTTGTGATGAATGATGTTGTCATCTTGATAAAGTCTAGAACCACCTAGGAGACAAACCTTCAGCTGCTTCTGTGAAGGTATTCCAGAGATGTGTAACTGAAGAGAGGAGACCTACCCTGAATGTGGGTTGCACTATCCTATGATCTGGAGGATGTACTAAATAAGAAGGACAGAGTGAGCTGAGTATCAGCATTCATCCTTTGCTTCTGACTATAGGCTCAATGTGACCAGCAGCCTCAAGCTCCTGCAGCTATGGCTTCCCAACCACGATGAACTTGTACCCTTGAACTGTGAGCAAAAATACTCACATAATTGTTTTTGTCTGAGTAAGAAAAGCAATTAATATAGGGTCATTAAAGGGTTTATTCACATAAATTGTGGGTCAAATTGAATCTATAAGTTAATTTCTTGAAAAATTAAACTGTCAAGTTGATTTTTGGGAATACTATTCAGTGCATAAAATGAAGTCCACATGCAGTAATGTTGTACTTTTAAAATAATTGAAAGAATTAAATCACTATACTTATGGTCTGTTGGTTGGAGATTTTAGCATATTAGGGTTAAATACAGGAGATTCCCATAAATATTGCTTGGATTTCTTCTCTCAAAACTAAACTGGTATAATGTTTTAGATATACAATATCTTATAAAGACCCCCAAACTGCTATTTTTCCCTGCAGTTTTTTTTTACATATTCACAGGGCATGCCTTATTGCTTCTTGAAATCGGAATTCTTGGTCAGTAATATGCTGTACCTTTCATTTCCTATTTTTCTATAAGAAAACCTTGCAGAATTACAATAAAGTTCTGTAATTATTTAGCTAATCATCTGGGCACAGGTGATAGAATGTTATAGAATTTTCTAAGTTATAAGCAAGATTGTCCAAGCCGACTCACTCATAGGTTAGAGGAGAGGAGATTATGCATTGAGGCCCAGAAAATTCAGAGAAGAAATGTTTTTTTTAATTTCCTTTTAAAAATAAAGAAAACAAATTATGGTATCTAAGCAACCATATTAAGTCTTTCTTGTACAAAAAATGGTACTAGCAATAAAATTTCCAGGGGAAAAAGACAATTAGATACTCCAGAATGTGACCATAAATGAATGACACAATGTCCTTTAGCACATCAAGAATTTTAAACTCAAAGGTACAGGATGGAGTCGGTGTGAAATTTAACAACAAAAAGAGCAGAGTTTGAGAATCAGCAGAGAATTCTTAAATGGCTGTTTTCCCCCTTTAAGAGAACAGGACACAAAAGCAGGACTGTAAGTCTGAAGGTCACCGTAGTAATACAAAAGTATCAGATGAACAAAAGGCAACTTTTGTAAAAATGACATGAGCATGTAAATTCTCATCAAAAACTTTTCTCATCTTTGGAATATGAAACACATACATTCAACTTCTTGTTAAGAAAGTAGGAACTATAGTAAGTCAGGGTCCCCATGAAGAGTCTCTTGGTTCTATCCTGGGCACATGGGGCCTCAACACTTGCCTCTGGGTGCATGAAGACTTGCATGAACACTGGCCTTACGCCATGTGCAGGAAGAGGAAGGCCTTCCACTTACCGGGACTTGTGAGGGCTCCCAGGGCACTGCTTGTGGTAGAGAGAGGGTTTGCATTGGTGCTTGTGGCTGAGGTTTGGGCGGCAGCTGCAGCAGCAGCCAGTGTTGCCAGATTCTGTAATTGTAAAGCATTCATGCCTGTAGAGAAAAGACAAAAGTGATGTTAGCCACAGACCCAAATTTTCCTGTTTCTAAACTGAAATTCTCTCTCTCTCCTCTCTCTGTCTCTGTCTGTCTGTCTGTCTGTCTGTCTGTCTGTCTGTCTCTGTCTCTCCCTCTCTCTCTCTCACACACACACACACACACACCACACAATCCCTGTACTTGACCCTGTGATTTTGTACTCATCAGAGTTGCCTCAGGGATATGTGTGATTACACCACTTGACTAGGAACTGGGATCTATTTCTCAGAGGACATCTCCTTTGAGTTTTAATGATATCATCTTTCATTTCTAGAGATGTAGTGCTAAAAAGGGGTATCTGCTTTTTATCTAGTACTTCTGAGCAGATTAAGCTCAATGGGGCACTGTCTATCTTAACTTAGGACTGTCTTCTCTCAATGATGTAGAAGTTCATAGATTATTCTAGTATTCTATATTGACTGGACAGGGACAGGGTAATAGGTAGGGACTGGCAACTTCTATCTATGACTTAGCTGTCATGAAAATGGTGAGAGCTGGGTATAGGTGGCTGCAGGACAAGCACAGAGTGGGGGGTAAACTGTATTTCTTAATTTGACAGGTACACAGACATTACAGAGGAATTAAAGTTCATTGCTTAAATGGCCCTGCTCTGAAACTGAACTGACACAGGTTCTAATCTTGGCTTTGCCGTTTTTCCAGATATGTGGATGTAGGCAAATTACTCAGCCTCTTCATTTCTGGGTGACCAGACTAATTGTACTTGAATGTAGAGGGCTGTGCAAATAAATATAATGAAAGCAAATTACTCTAGAATGATCTAAGTACTCAATGAATGTCAGTGATGAATGTCTCCAGATTTATCTTATCATGTCTCCACAGTAGGAGCTCAGTATAGGATGAACAAAAATTGGCAGTACCTTAAATCAGTTTAAGTGTAGCCTGATGACCTGAGGTTTCCATCCTCAGGACCTACATGGTGGAAGGAAAGAACCAACTCTGGAAAGTGGTCATCTGATCTACACATGTATGTGGTTGTTGACAGACACGTTAAACCTACAGCCAACATATTTTAAATTAATTTTTATTTAAATTAACAACAATCTTATTTTACATACCAAACCCAGTTCCCTCTCCCTCTGGACCTCTTGCTCCCCCTCCCTCCATCCCACACCCCATGCACTTCTCAGGGAGGGCGAGGCATCCCATGGGTGAGTCATCAAAATTTGTCATACCATTTTGGGCAGGACCTAGATCCTCCCCATGTTTCTAGGCCTGAGAGAGTATTCCTCCATAGGGAATGGGCTCCCAAAACCCATTCATGCATTAGGGATAAATACTGGTTCTACTTCCAGAGGCCCCATAGTCTGCCTAGGCCTCCCAACTAAGTGACACCCATGTTAAGGTGGCCTGGTTTGGTCTTATGCAGGTTGCCCAGCTGTCAGTCTGGAGTCCATGAGCTCAGTCAACATATTTTTAACTAGAATGAATTTTTGATCAGTAAAAGTTAAGAGAAACAGCTGACCTGAAAAAGGGGGAGCTCTTGGACCCCAGACTGATGCCTAAGAGGCCAACATGGGACTGATCCAGACCCGCTGAATGTGGGTGTCAGTGTGGAGACCTAGGCAACCTATGGGGCTTTGGTAGTAGATCAGTATTTATCCCTGGAACACAAAATGGTCTTTGGGTGCCCATCCCACAATGAGGGATGCTCTCTCAATCTGGACACTTGGGGGAGGGTCTGGGGCCTACCCGGAATGAAATGACAGACTCTAGAGATCCCCCATGGAGGGCCTTACTCTCCCTGGGGAATGGAGTGGGGATTGGGTGGAGGGCTGGGGGGCTGGTTGGGGAGAGCGGGTGTGGAGGGGAGAGAGAGGGAGCTGGGGCTGACATGGAAAGCAAGCTTGCTTCTAAATTAAATATTTAATAAAAAGTGTTTCAAAAAAAGTTAAGAAACAAAATGCAAATGAAAGTGTGCAAGAGTGTAGTAGGATGGGCTGAGATTGGGCTCCAGCCTGCTGCCTTTGCTGTTTAGACATTCAGCATTTTCCCTCACTCCATCAACAGCTTCTCTAAATACCCGAGGTACTTCCTCCCATGATTCTTGTCCCAATAAATAAAAGTAACCATGTTTCTCTTTCTTATATAGAAAGAGATTGGAGTCAAGTAATCAGCTTAATTTTACCTTCTCATGACTCAAATTCAGATACTCAAAAACTATTTCTTTGACAAATTTGATTTAAGAAAAGTGACCTGGCCGGGTGGTGGTGGTGCACGCCTTTAATCCCAGCACTCGGGAGGCAGAGGCAGGGGGATCTCTGTGAGTTCGAGGCTGGGCTGGACCGACAGCCTCCAAAACAATACAGAGAAACCCTGTCTCGTAAAACCAAAAAAAAAAAAAAAAAAAGAAGAAGAAGAAGAAGAGTGACCTGATGAAGGTCTGTATGTGCTGGGGGCAAGGCAGATAGCTTTTCTAGCAACATTCCTAAGCAGACTTGCAGCCAGCCGTGCATGGCTGGCTGAGAGCATGAATAAGGGCCTGGCTGCTGAGCCCTAGAAAAAGCACTGCTTCTGTGCTCTTTTCTTGGGGTCATGGTCTGAAAAGAAGCTCCTGAGGGTTTTGCTGTAAAATGAGTTCCAGTATGCCCCAAATCACATCCTTTCTTCCTTCAGGAGCCATTGAACTTACTGGGTTGTGGTGAAGTCCAAAGAACCACCTACTTCTTTGGTGGCGATTCATAGGAGCAAGATATAGAATTTGTGAAATCTAGTGATCAAATGCGTCTGGGAGTAAAGCTCTCTCTTTGTCTCTCTGGTAATGGTCAAACAGTGACATATCTATTAGAAGCACTGTGGGTACTAAGAAACACTGGGCTAATTTTTCAGTTTCCCTTTAGCAAAGTGGAAGAAGTATGGAGCTGCCTGGCTTTAGTGGTGACCCACTCAGACCAAATAAAGGCTGTATTTCTTGAACGCTGCATGAACACACCACACACAAGTGTGACAAGAGCATCTGGACTGTGAGTGAGGCCATTGCACAGATTCATCTGTCCCCCTTGATTACCAATGCTCCCTTTAATGTTCTGATAATGTGAACTAGATGACCATACGGTATCACCAACAGACAGTAGGACATATAAGAGGAGGATTTAGCACTGAAATAAAACCAATTAATAACAAACAATTATTATAGACTCAGGTCAGAGGGCCAAACAGTGTTTTATTCATCAACCAATAGAGAAACATATATATATACATATATATGTATGTATGTATGTATGTATGTATGTATGCATGTATGTATAGACATCCCCATCACTAGGCCCCCTATTTATAGCAATGGTCCCCAGATTTCCAGTCCTGGCAAGAACATCTCATCCTTTACCCTTATCTTCTATTTCTAGTGTCTGGAATACACAAGAGTCTATGTTGGTGACAACAATCACAAATTACCAGAAGCGGTGTAGCCCTGTGAAGAAGTGTGCAGGCTCTCCTTTGAGATAGCCTGGATGTAAATAAACTCAGCTCTGTCACCTTTTCTAACTCCAGCTATCTAGAGTAAACTGGCTAACTACTTGTGCTTTGAGATCCCCAACTACAGTCTAATTCAAATAGAATCTACTTTCTGACAGTCGATATGTGAAAAGACCAAAGAATGTGACCTTGGGCAGAGCTGGGTTCATATGGTACGTTCCTTAGCTTTAACTAGCAATAGCAATATTATATCAAGTAAAGATCATAAGAATGACAAACAGCATATCCTCAGTGACAGGTTTGGGCTTTTTCTGCCACAAATGGGTACCTGGTGAGGGTGTTCTCACTCAAAAGTAAATATCTCATTTACTATTCCCCTTCTTCCTTAGGGTCAGCTGTTTGGAGGAAAAGTAATAGCTCCATGGACTAAATCGGGTTGGGCAGGCTCACAAAGATTTTCTACTGTCTAACATCACCAGACTTTCCCAGAGCAGGAGATTACCTTCTGCCTTAAAATGCTCCCACTCAAAGCTGCTCTGAGGGATTGCAACACTGCTCCTTCCCTTCTTAATTAACTCTGCCATCTTCCCTAGGCCCAAGACAGGCAAGACAGTCTGGCATGGTCTTTGTATCCAGTTGTTTGGAATCCCCGCTCTGGTTCCTTTCACTTTTTCATGGGGTGTGTGTGGGGGAGGGTGGGGGGACAGGGAGTGCTCTCTGTCTTTCCTTCTTTCCCAGTTCTTGAAGCAGGCCCATCTTCCCACCCCCTCATACTTTCTCTTTCACCATGAAAGGGCACCAGACTGGAAGGCGCCTTCACCCTTCTTGGAAGCCGGTTCTGGCTTGGCAAACAGCTTTTCTGAGAAGAAAAATGGCTACTTTTAACTTCTGCTCAGCTGGGCACCTCTCAAACCAAGGGCAATAATCTAGGTAACTAAACACATGAAACACTTTAGTTTTAGGTAATCTAAAAGTGAGCTACTATGATGATGGCAAAAAGAAAAGAGTTAGGAGTAAGGAGATTCAAGTTTTCACTCATTATTTTGTAAGAAAATTCCTTAAAAATGAAGAAATTATGTATGAAACAGATACATAATATTCCTACTTGAAATTTAAGATAAAAAATTATTTATAAGGAAAAGGGCATGAAAATTTAATGTTCACCTTAGGTAATTTTGTGTCTTATTGTTCATGCAATTACCATAAATCTGCATATCAATAAGTGAGAACAGATGTCAGTTGTTACAAGTGCTTGCCAATCAGGTCTGTTAAAAAGTGACAGATGGGTGGTTATAGGACATTCTCATAAGGCCTATTAGCACATTCACAGGAAGTGTCTGTGGTGTGGACTGCTGGAGACTCGGAAGGAAGAACACAGGGTCTTTGTGGGCCTATGAGCACACTTCATGCTGGGAGCTGCTCCAACTGGAACTTCTCAGATTGCCCAGACACTGTTTTTGCACACCGTCTTCTCTGCTTGTGAAAGACACTTTCAGACAACCTTCTCAGAGACTGGATTT